CCAGGTGTTTCAGTGTTTTCCAACTGTGGATCGGGGCAATGCTAAATGATGAAGGCCTGAAAATGGTGTTGGCAGCTAGAGTCCTGTTTTGGCCAGGCGTTTTGTGCTGCAGATACCTGATAAAGCGAGTTAGTATGAACAAAACCTTTCCAAAATTTCTATAGGACAAGATGTGGGAGAGCATGCAGTTTCTTATAGGGAGCTCCAAGTCTCTCACTGCGGGACTGACCCCATTGGGCTTTAATGAACTTCTGGATTTTGTAGGTAGGCTTACCTGGTAGATGGAGTTTCCTTTGGCATGGGGTGCTCCATTCTCCCACAGCGCTAAGCCGTTCTCCTTGTTCTTGGGTCCCAGGTTTGCTGTGGCTCCATGAATGCTGATCACCTTGACTGTCAACACTGCTTTTCCTCTTCTTCCTCCAGAATATGTATTTTGTGGAAAAGTGAAAATGTAAACAGTGTGAAAGGAGGCTTTGAAACTCCCAGTTTATATTTTGTAATAAAATATTCAGGCTTTCATGCGAGCTCATTGGACGTTTGCTTGCCAAATTGCGTTTGACACAGCTGGAATAGAATAGCTGAGTGGGGAAGTCCACGATATCGTCAGGTACAATTACTGTCAAGATCTTTTACTTTTCTGGCATCATCCCAGAATTCGTACTCAGCTGCATTTCCCCGCCACCCCCAACTGTCTTGATTTGTTTTTTCTTCTTTTATTTAAATGAAAATAAGGAGAAAAAAAAAACCTTAGAAATACGATTAACCATTACATCTTCCCTGTAGAGTTTGAAGCAGGACCCCTTCCATTACTGGGTTTTCACGAGCCTCCAAATATTGAACTTTTGAAATCTTATACTAGTTTGAAGATTGGGGCTTAAGACCTTTTAGCACGTCTAAGGACAGCTCCTGGCAGTAGGAGTCTCGATTTGATGGTGACCCAGGAGTTCCCTTCTAGTCCCTTGTTCCTGGGGTGCCATGACCCTCTTCCCGCTACGTGCTGACTCCTCCTTGCTGTAAATTGGGCATTTCAAGATTAACCTCAACACTCGGTCACCAGGGCACATTTGCAAACCCTGTTCTTTATTAGCAGCTGTGAGCAGTCCTACCAGAACAGCGCTAACAAATCAGCTGTTCTCCACTGCAGCATTCATGACAAAGCTCTATTCAAGCTAAGAGGAAAGGCAATCACCCGAAGCACTAAGAAATGAAGTATCTTTTTTAACTTATCCGCAAGAAGAAAAGCTCCATCCAGCAAAAATGTGTGCAGCTTAATTTAGACTCTTGTCCATATTATTGTACAGATCCCATGTTTGTCGGGAGCTACAGCGAGCTCTAATGCTACCTGCCAATGCTCTTCATTGCTGATCCTGCATGACCTATGAGTGCACGATTAGTACAATAACTCCATCTGGCCCACCTGTGCACTGTGACAGGCCCGGCAGGCCAGGTTCTGTTTATGCTTCTCTCTGCGTCCCCATAAGGTTTTTGTAGGCAAGTTCACGTACGTGCTGTGTGCCAACTGTGTTTTGGTGTAGTGCAGAGCTTAGCATTCTCCCTTTTTGGGTTTTTTCATGTAGTGCTTGAAGGGCATAGAAACATGACAGGCCAGATCCTGTTCCACCTATTAGGCACCACAGTATGATTCTATTACAACCTGTTCAAGTCCTGAAAAGACATCATCAGCACACCTTCTTGTGTAACACGACCATCTCACCCTTAAGACTGAGCTGCAGAAAAGCAGGTTAGAGACACAAAAAGCTAGAGTAGAAAGCAGTGAGTACCCCTCTTCTGAATGCACTGTCCCGTCCCGTCCCCCGCCCCCCCGGGATTAAAGCAGGGTGGAATTGAATAATGCTAAATCTCGAAATCCACTTCTGTGCTCAAACGGGTGGAATAGAATCGGGCCCAATTGGTTTACATCAATTTGGGGGCTGGACTCTGATCTTCCGAGGTCCCTTCCAGCCCTAATGTCTATGAAATCTATGAAATGGCATTTACATTTATTTTGTACCAATTACATTGAGCTCTGGAGTGAGCAGATGACCAGCTAACGGCTCAGGCTGCTAGAGAAGAAGACAACAGCTTGAAAAAACTGGCAAACCAGGCTGAAATTTTACTAGCGTTGCAGACGGGTGCTATGTTTGCCACTGTAACTTGATATTGTAACTTGTAATATTGATTTTTTTTTTAACTGTGCATTTTTTTGCAGCGTAACTGTGTTGGAATATAAAAGATTGCAGTTTATGTTGGTGTAGGGCTTAACTATCTTGCGCCTGCAACCAAGGCACTTAACTGTCATGGCTTGGCTACCTGGAAGTCTCCTGTATTGGCAGTTCGGCAGTTATGCTCCAAACCAGGCTTTTGACATTTTGTGTCCGCTCCTGAGCATGGAAAGGCTTCATGTTACAACCTGAATTTCTCTGGATGTCCAGTGCCATTTGATGTTTGAGAGGTGGGCATGTGCTACAGCACTGAAATCCTGATCTAAATGTTCTTGAAGTTTTGGGCATTAGAGGCAGCCCTGATTTTGCACCAGACTGAAATACTCCCCAATTTTGAGATGCAGGAGATTAGACTCCGAGTTTGGTTGGGTTTAGCTCTACTACATTCTGTGATTTGGAAGACAAAAATCTTGTCGTAATTTGGTTCATTAGTTCATTGGAAGTTTTGACAAATGCATCTGTGTGCTTACTAATTCCCTCTGTTTGCTTCTATATGCTGGCTTCACTTAATCCAAAACGCAGCATGAATCCTCACTGGGACCAGCCTTTTCTATCATGTTACTTCCTCTTTTTAAATTCAACCAGCTTGTCACTACTAGATTTTATTACTTATGAAAAGTTTTATACTGGACACGTCTTATCTTTCTTACCTTCTGCCACCAGGCAAACTCAGGTCAACATCTGCTAGGTATTTGTCCAAAATATAGATGGACGCTTTTGGACTTTGTATCCTAAGAAACTTTGCTCCACAGGAAACAGGTTTAAGACAAGCCTTCCAAACCCCGAGAAGAGTCAATCCTATAAAAATGTTCCACTTGAAATTAAGGACCTATGTGGTGATGTAGAGAAGTGCATGTGAAAGACCTGTGCTTTGTGTTATGTGTTCAGTTTCTGCTAACCAAACAGGACTAAAACGGTAATCTTGCTTTTATTTTAATATTAAGCCGCAATGCTATAATAATTCCAGCAGTACTTGTATGGTTTGACTCAGGTCTCTGCCCATTGCTAATTTGATGCAAGATGCAGTGAAGTTGATTGAAAAGATTCACGCTAAAATAGGCGATCAATCAAGCCTCGTGGTGCTGAGAATAGGACACTGTTCTGCTACCACCAGTGGCTGGAGGAAACGGTTGCTCTGTTTCCCTGTCACCTATGAAACAGGCAATATTCCCTCAACATGTTAAACTAGTTAAGCTAGCTAGTTAAGCCTCATCTCCTTTAACACTGACTTCCCTGCATCTTCTACCTGAGTACCAGGCTTCTGGATGCCCTCTGTGCAAATGTGCCAAGGACAATAGGGCTTCTTCCATCCTTCCCTAGACCCATACAGCAGTTTAGGAGCAGTATTTAGTTTATCCTGGGTTCACGTGCTAATTCCTAAGCAACTGCTAATTCCTAATAGTCATAATCAACTGATGATCGCAATTGCTTTTCACTACATTTCATAGATGTACTTGACAAGTGCATGCAACTTCGGGGAGGTGGTACTTTGCCATCGCTCCAAACGGCCGAATGGCTATGAGGACATCTCAGCCCGACACCTCTTGCAAACTGTACTGCCTCGTCCTGCTTAAGAACCAATAATGTGTTTGTCACATGCAGGTCAGTGGGGTTGCAAAGGGATTGATCCATTGAGTTGAGGTGTTCAAGTTTTTAATTGGTCTCAGTACTCACAACTTGGACACCGCAGTGTGTGTTTTCCAATTACGTATCAGAATCCACACACCTGGATTAATAACGTTGACCAGCGTATAAGTGAACATTGCTAACCAGTTATAGATATCTACTGACATCTTTCAGCGGCTGGCTGCCAAGCTCATAATACATGGTAGTATCCGTTTCATCCATAAAGAACTTACTCCAGACCCCACAACCATCTTTGACATTTTGGAAAAATTGGCTTGTTTTTACTCATTTGCCTGCAGAGAAAAGCCCTGTTAGCTACTGAGCAGCTATCATCACTGCAGGAGGTCTCAGTGAAGAGATCTTTACTCATTCTTCGACTGCGAACTTAGGCCCCATCTTGCCTCCGACAATGGGAACTCGCTCAACACGGGTTTGGCCCTTTGAGTCCCACTTTCGGCTCTGCCAGCTGGGCCATTTCTGCTGTGGACAGAGATGTCGTGATAGCTTGTAGAGAGGGAGGGCTGGTTACTTAGGGCCCAGCCCACTGAAGGCTTGAAAGGCTATCATTATAATATACAAGAAGGTCAAACACGGGCTACAAGAACTTGTTAAACACATTTATTGAGTTCTTGACAGTAACCAAACACAGTGAATGACCGTTATAAACAAGAAAAAGGCATTAGCTTTTACTTGGTAAGCTCCTGCTATATCTGTAAAGAAAATATATCCTTCTCCACCAATTTACAAGGTTGAATTTGTATGGCCCAATAATGGACTCAACAGAGGAAATGGTGATTTTAAGCCAAGACATTTTTCGTTTGCTTTCCACTTCTGGAGCCTAACTCTTATTAACGATGAACCATAAAGCAGAGTGAAAGTTACCCTCGCTTTGTTAAATGCATTCCAGTTTGCCCTCAACTCCGCTAAACTGGCCGCAAACAAACAAATGAATTTGAAAAGGGAAAGGAAAAGAAAAACATAAATAGTGCAGCCACAAGCGCTAGAGGCGTATTCTTTTAGAAAGGAAAAACAAACCCAAACAAGTGAACTAAATTAATTTGTTAAAGACATTTATTGAGTTGTTAACAGTAACCAAACACAATGTATGACCTTTGTAAAACAAGAAACAGAAAATGGATCAATTCTGATCTTGGCAAGTCCTACTACAGATATGTGACAAAGAGGGAAATATTTCAATTTCCTTTATATTCTCCAGTGAAATATTTACAATACTTATCTCTCACTGTCTGTCCTTTTTTATTAAATAAACAGAAGGATCATAACCTAGAAATGTTTCCTCTACAGTCTTCTTGTTCTGTCTTGTCAGTATCCATTAATAATAGTGATATAATGAGAGCTTTCCAAGGGTTACTTGGCACACAGAACACAACTCCACTTTGATGCTGTACTGAGCCACCTTTTTTTCTTTTTATTTATTTTTTATTTATTTTTTTTTAATTTTGAGGGAGGGGGCAGAGAGGAAGAATTTCATATATACAAAGGCTGAAAAGTCTCTTTTTGTGAAGCTAAATTAGTTCAGGAAAACTGTATCAAAATTGTAATCACATTTACTGTAGTTATTGTCTTTTTGTTTGTTTGTTTTTAAATTACCACTGATCATACGTATGAATTTTTAGTTGCGTTTCCATCATGGCAGCTCTTTTCTTGCAGCACGTTTCCACGTGCCGTCATGAATCCAAAGAGTGAATGAGGCTGGGTGCGTTCTAGATTATATCAATTCACAGTCGTAGCATTCCACTGAGGTTAGGGATTCTTCCTGCTATGTCCTTACTTACTTGAGGAGCCATTCATTTACTGAAAGAAACAAGTGACAGTCAGGCTTCAAGCAACACCAAATATGAAACAGCCTGGTTTACAAAAAAAAAAAGCACCAGAAAGTAGTTGTTGAATAATTTCAAAACGAAGATTTGTAGTTGTAACAAATCAGAACTATTCAACTTTTTAAAATGAAAAATGATCTTTTTAAATTGGGGGTTGTATGATTCGCACCCCACCCCTCCCCCCAGCATTTTTCATCTTGCGTAAAATTGGGAAATGAACAGTTGCCATTTATTTTATCAGGCTTTTTTTCCCCCCCCCTTCTTTTTCAATTGTACACCTTCAGCAACAACAATATCGAGGAGGGGAGAGCACAGAAGTTGAAAAAGCCCAATACCCAAGCTCCAAACTAGAAAAAGTCCAATATAGGAAACATTTTTTGGCATACAGAATATTTGTTATTTTTCAAGATGCCCACCCCCAACACACTTTTTTTCAACATCTTTACCCTAAGCATATCTGCAGCTTTCCTGTTTCCTAATGGTTTACACATGTGTAAAATTAGCACGCTTCTCCTCTAAGATAAAATTAGCACACTTCTCCTCTAAGATAGCACCCAACTATTCAGCTCAGCTCTCTGCTACTTGTACGTCTTTTCACTTTTAAGGCTATACATTATTTTTTTATTAATGTTTATTCTTGTGATCTCTGCAGAAGGAGCAGCTCTGGGTGAGGGCGTTGGATTCTATTCCAACTGCAGCAGCATGAGCAAAGATCCCCAAGTAGGCTCCAAATGCATAGCATCTGCTATTGGTAATGAAGAAACCAGCTTAACAGTAAGAGTTTGCTGGCCCGACAGCTGGAAAAAATCATAATTTTACTTTTCCACATCACATCTGCTCAAGTTAAACTGCTGAAAGATAATCAGCCTGGACCCTCCTGATACCAGTTTTATGGAGTTACCTTTCAGAGCAGGACTATATGTTGGCTCCTTGCAACATGTCCTGTAATTCCTTATTTACTATTTTACTCTGTTCATATCAGACCCTGGCAGTGACATGAAATGACTTCAAGTGGAATTACATTTTGATTCTTATTTGCACCTGCAGCATCTGGGGGCTGGACTGGATGTCCTTCTGAGGTCCCTTCCAGCCCTACTTTCCTCCGATCTCTTTTTAGAGAACACAATTTATAGCTAGAAATTATTCTCTTGACAGGAACTAGAATGAAGTGTTGGGACATGTATCACTATAAAACACCTCATTTCAGGTTATTCACATCCTATTCCACCTGTTCATATGCTGATTCGCTTTTGTGTGTCCCATCAATAAAACATAATTTAAATCAGCCTTCACTCCCTTTTCTGGCTCTGCAGTGGTCGCAGTTCTGTGTGTTTAATGCTTAATGTTTAAATAGCAGATTTAACAATATTTTAGACAGTCCAGTAGGACAGCTTTTTTTTCAATGCGTTGCGTTGGCATAAGACCTTTCTTCTCTTGCTTTTTTACTTTAAAGTGTGCAAAAGAATCATTCAACTCTGAAAAGAAAATCCTATACTTTGGTTTAGCCCATCAATTACTTTTTTTTTCATTTGCCTTGGGGATCATTGTTGATAACTGATGCTTATTACCCACCCATTCTCCTAATGCTGACAACACCTCTGCAGCAATCTCATATCCTGGTAGGTTAAGACATGCATGAGGCATATTATGGCTCAATTGTGAGCCCCCAACCAGGCCCATGAAAAACTTTATCATCAGGCTACTGGGCCGGTCTTCTATTTGTCTGTTGTACAGAAAAAAACCCAACCCATCCCAACTTAAGCATTTGTGATTGCATTATACCTCCAAGAAGTTCAGTCACACTCCCATTAAAGATCAGGACTGACTCATTCCCCATTTTTCAAGGTCAGTTATACAGAACATGCAGTTTGTACTATGGAGATGCTTTAAAATGTAACTGTAAAGCTGAAGGCCTGCCTGCCTTGTGAAGATACCAAACACCCATGGAACAGAGTTTTTCTAGGTGTCTTGGCAGTGCAACCATTGATTTATACACTTGCCTCTAAAAGGTGCCGCACATAATGATATGCATAATTTATGGCATGCTTTGGGAGCTCTGCATAGGCACAGAAAATATTACTGGGATTGCTGTATGTAAAACATACCTCTATACTGAAGTTTCTGTGCTCTATTGTTTGGGCAATCTTTTCCCTGTAAACTAAAGTTGATATTAGTTCGGATACATCGATTGTTGAGAGGCTGGACTGGTCTGAAATTGTCACTCATGCTCAGAAATATCTGTGATGGTTGATTCTGGCTTAGTAGTCGTAAAGAATGCATCTACACAAAATACAAAACAAGGACTTGTAACACTATTCTTCATCATTAGTCAACACCATCATCCCAAATTAAGTAACAGAATATATTATTATACATTAACATGAAACCAAATTTATGCGATTTGGCATCAGGGGGAGTTTCCAGAGATGCATTAAAGGCAAAGGCCATTCATTCATGGTAACCCACAACACTTTTTGCAGGCTGCACGAAAATAACTTAAGGAAATTATGGCTGATCAAGAAATAAATGGAATCCAAAGTTCTACATGGAGGCAGCAGCAGATGCAGAGAAAATGAACTAAAAGGCATGGTGCTAGCAGCCTTGGAGACTGCAACCCTTTTTATACACTGATTCATCTCTTTTGCTTAGCACCACTGTAGTTATCCTCATACTGGTACTCTGAGGGGCTTTCCTAGTTTAGGACACCCTTATGGGCTAACCTCTACCCAGCAACCCATTGTGAAGGTGGTTTTTGCCTTAGGGACACTTGCACACCGGCAGCTGGACTACAACCCACCAACTAGCTGACAAGTGGTAGTGGCTTTACAAGTAGCAATGAAGATGGCTGAAATTTTTCAGCTGAAACCTCTTGTAACTAAGAAATGCAGATTCACATCAACCAACACATTTTGTGAATTTCTGCAGAGAAATTCCACAAAACAAATAAAACGCTGCATTTTGATGTTTTCAATTCTAAATGAGATTGCATTGTATCACTCTGGGGGTACAATCGAAAGATAAAAGGACTTTTGGTGAAGTATTATTGCCTCTGGTCGCTACCAAGTTAGTTTAAGTAAGGACTAACCAGAGAAATCCGGTGTGGTTAATGACACCAACAAGTGAGTTTTGCATTTTTTGTAATGGCTTCAAGGGAAGTCTTCAGTTTTACATCAGTTTTCAGTCCAAGTATACTGCATAATTAGTCGGTATTCCATTAAATCAATTTGCAGTACTAATAGTGTAGGATGTAACTATGCTATTCAACCAGAAAAGCATGTCAAGGAATAGGGATCATGAGAGTTTGCCCCTTTGGGTACTCCTGCAGGCTACAGAAATATTTGAATCCTCATTTTGTATTTTACTTCTGGAAAGTAACAAACATGTTTCTTACAGAAAATGTGCTTCATGTTTGCTTGAAAGTTTAGAATGGATAATATGTATCTTTTTTCCCCAGTGAACTGTGTCATTCTCCTAAATTAGTCCTAATTCTCTGAATCCGTGCAGAATTGGACAGAATGAATACTTCATGGTTGAAATGGGTTTCAAGCTTCCTGCAGACATCTTATTTGCAAAGTTAATATGATTTGAAACCCCCAAATTATTTTGAGAGCTGATTTCTCATCCTCCCTTTCCTTTTATTTCTCAGACCAAATCACTCCTGTTGTCTAGTATGTTGGGGGAGGGCAGGCAGGATTTTTAATATTCCCTGAAAGTTGACATAATGAAAAAATAGCTCTGAGATCTGCTAAGTGATCTGTAGGAGTCTCACTGGTGAACAATGCACTGGGAGATAGGCTTGATCAGTGCATTTCTGAGGCTTTCACTGTGCATGGTGGGGTTTAAAGCAACTGAATCACTTTGGCATGCTCCCCTTGTAGTAGTCTTTCGATCCATGTGTACCATGGATACGGTGGTCTTGACTATGGAATGGATATGGCTCCTTCTGCTTGCTCTACGCTGTTGCTGTCTAACTGTGGCCTGCAAAGCATCTTTTTAGAACAAATGTCCTATATCTCAACTTCTCTGCCCATATGCTGGCATCAGTTCTGCCTTTCTGAAAGTACCTGTGTCCTAGCCTGTTTTTTTTTTTTACTTGAATTTGCTGCCCCAGTTCTTCATGAGACCGCTATTGCTGCTCAGTAAATGTTCTTATTTTTGCCCTGGCCTGGGTCCCTGTTAGGCTTCTAAAGCTGGGCAATCCTTATAAAGCAACAAAGCCATGATTATTTCAGTCTTTCATTTAATATTTATTACTTTTAACATGCCACCGCTTAGTTAGGTTTTGCATAATATACCTAAATTGCATGCAGAGATGGCTGCACCGAAGAGGTGATGCACAAGTGATAATACAAAGATATGCGTTTAAAATCTTCTTCTTCTGATAATCATACTAGGTCCAATACATGCTTTTGCTTTACCTGCATCCTTGTTATGTAGACAGGTTTGTTCATTATTATCCAACTTGCTGTTTCATAGCAGGGTGGGATGGTCATTGACCCATCATATGTAATGAAACTAGAGGTCTCTGGATAAAGTTCCTCAATATTGAGTCCCTGCAGTAAGTATGCATCATCTGAGAATAAAGGGGGAGAAAGGTCTAGATAAAGCAGTATTTTCACAAGACAAACTTCGTTGTACATGCTCTTTACTCTGGAAGAATCTCAGCCTCGGTCTCACTGGAATATAAAGCAGAATCACTTCGCGTAGGCAACTGTTTAGCATACCGGACAAGAACAAATATAATATGGTAATCTTGTTTGGGTCAAATTCTGCCTTTAGATGCTTATGCATAGGACCTGTTGACTTCAGTGGGAATTCAGCACAAGCATCTATGGAGAAAATCCGGCCTTCATTTGGGAACTCGAGTTTATAAACTATCTGAACTACTGCTCTGGATGCAGCAGTCTTCGGAGAATGCCGACTTACTGTATTTTTGGAATGATTAACAAGTTTTGCCTGGCAAAGCATTGGGAAGGCCAAGAGTGTTAAAGCTTAATTACCCTTGTACCATGGAAAAGATTGTTCCACCTTGTTAAGGTTAATATATGATAATAAAGCTGCTCAATGAAGCCTGCCGTCCTTTAGTGTGCACAGTGGGAGTGAAAGCAGTGCAAGCTCACTCAGAATGCTAAAGTCAGGGGTGAGAAAATCCGCTGTAAAGCAAGTTACTGGGCTCCCCACTTTTATCATCTCCTCGCTGGTAATTAACGAGCCGTCCCTTTGTAGAAGATTTCAGCGCGTGGACATGAGCCACTGCATAATTAGAAATAGATATATCTTTTAAGAGTCATCAAAGCTGCTCAGCCCTTGCTAAGCTGCATGCATTATTGCTGCTGTATAACGTTGGCTTGATAGTGCTTCTGGCAGATATTTCAAAGCTGTAACTCAGATTTTTTTTTTTTCCAGGATTCCCTCTTGAAATTCAGACTCCAGGAGTTCCTTCCTAGACCGTTTGCAAGGATGCATGCACTTAACCTTTTTAACTGCCCCCCCCTGCCAGTATTATGCACTGCTGAGAAAGCTGGAATGGTTAGGTAATGGGGAAATCTCAGTTGCATGTAGTATGTTTAGTATGGTTCGTTAGTACAGCAAATGTTCACATTTAGGCAAAGAAGATGTGCTGTCAGGTTGCGGACTAAGCAATTTATTTTTTTTCCTTTCAGTCCGTGAATGTGAGGATTCATATGATTAAATGTGAGGACGCGGTCAGGAAGGCTAACTGCACCTTGCCATGCATCCACAGATGCATCACGAGCAGGGCCAAGGAGGTGATCCTCCCCCTCTATGCAGCACTGGTCAGGTCACAGTTGGAGTACTGCATCCAGTTCTGGGCGCCGCACTTCAGGAGGGATGTGGCCAGCATTGAGAGGGTCCAGAGGAGGGCCACCTGCATGATCAGGGGGCAGCAGGGCAGGCCCTATGAGGAGAGGCTATGGGACCTGAACCTGTTCAGCCTCCACAAGAGAAGGCTGAGAGGGGATGTGGTGGTTGTCTATAAACTGGCCAAGGGAGACCAGCAGGCAATGGGAGAGTCCCTGTTCCCCCGAGCACTACCAGGAGTAACAAGGAACAATGGCCACAAGTTGACAGAGAGTAGGTTCAGGGTAGACATCAGGAGGCGCTACTTCACAGTCAGGGCGGCTAGGATCTGGAACCAACTCCCAAGGGAGGTGGTGCTCACTTCTACCCTGGGGGTCTTCAAAAGGAGGCTAGATAATCACCTAGCCGGGGTCGTTTGACCCCAGCATCCTTTCCTGCCCATGGCAGGGGGTCGGACTAGATGATCTGCTTAGGTCCCTTCTGACCCTACCTACGATGAAACTATGAAAAAAAAAAATCACATTGACATTGATGGGAGGGGTGGAAGCAGGTGCAGAGAAAAAAAAAGTGTACTAAGATTTCTGTTCAGACTAAAGCCCCCAATATAATGCAGGCTATTTTGAAACAATATCAAAAGGGTCAAAAATTCACGCTCAGTTTATCAGAAGTTTTCCATGCATCACCATATTATGGTATATTTAACAAGGGGAAAAAAGGAAAATCTGGTTAACAAACCATTTATAATCAACAGATTTTAGACAAACTATCAAAGAAAAGAAAGAAGGAAGAGAGATTTTCTTTTGAAAGTGGTAATTTTTTCATGTTCACCTTTAAGAACATTATTAAGTTCATGCTAAATTTTAGCTGCGGCAAGTTAGCGCCGACAAATCAGGCAGTGACTGCATTTCACCGCATTTTTTTTCCGTGTGAAAAAGAGCTACCAAAGCATGGTCAACTGTGTGCTGGCTGAAGGGAAATAAGCCATTGAGCCTTTGACTAATTCAGCTACAATACGTGTCAGATAAGCCGCATTTCTCCAGATGTCACTCATGAAGTCTCGTATCTAAGCTTAATTTATTCATACTTCCCTTGACTAATACTTTGCATCACTGTTCTACTCAAATGTTGAAACCTGCTGTTTCAGTATCCTTATTTACTAAAAATTGTTGACATGAAATATCATCGCTCAATATTCACAGTATCGTTGCGGTTGCAAAACAACCCTGTCTTTTCTCTCCTCCATTTATTGTCTCTTCCTTCTCCTCTAAAAGAAATAAAAGAGGAAGAACTATTTAAACAATCAAGTAAAAACACAAGAATTAAAGAAAATCCCAACCCCCCCCCCCCATAGTTGCTGAAGGGCAAGCTTACGCAAGTAATATACTTATTCCTCTTTGCACGTGTCAAACTCCTGCTTCAGGCAGCGGACAATCGAACGTAATGGCTGCTGTTATGGCCAGTCCACCAGGGACATGCACAGCTAAAAGCATGAGTCGCTACAGCATGAACTAAATAGCCAAGGCCCCTCGTTAGGGATGAAGGAGATTCCTATCCTCTGTAGACTGGGTTGAGAGAGAGACTGGTAAGACTCGCTGATTAGCGGGTAACACACGAGTGACCAGTTTTCCGTTTAAAATCTGTTAACACTTTATTTCAGGAAAGATGGCTTTGCCATGGGCTTTCTTGGCTGAGTAAAATTTACACCCCCACCCCTTTTCATACGTGAAGCCAGTACAAGTGCACTTTCACAGACCTGGTTTTGGACTCTACTAGTAGAGTGGAACACGTTGCCGCTCTTTCCTAGGGGATATTCAGTCACCTTTGTTAACGTGTTCAGCCTCAAATGGCCCAAAGCCTGGGGTACAAAGAATCTGTTTCCAAACCAAAAACTGTTTCATATGAAAGTGCTAAACTACTGCTGTAGCATTACTGAGCCAGCAGGCTGTTAAATTTTAACAGCTAGAGATGAGTGAATACACCTGAGCCCTATTCATAAAAAAATATTTGCAGCGCAACAATAATTTTGCTGGAATTACGGGAAGCACAGAATGCATTTTTTTCTCATGCCAGTGATTATTTTCTGTGAGTCATCACATCTCTCTCCTTTCCCACATGAACATCCTGCACATTATTTATGAACCGCAGAGAGTGGCGCGTGAGCTCCAAATGGCAGGGATTCAGTCGAAACGGTTTCAAATTCTGAGGGCCAAGTTCTCTTTGTCTCATCCACATCTGGCTTTGATGGGATTCGAGTGGCTTAAATGAAGGCAGAATGTGTCCCAAAGTATTTTTCAAGAGACGAAAGTCAGACTTAAAAATCAGTGAAGAGCAGGAACATTGGTAACTCAAGGTTTTTTATGTCACATTTGTTTTAATTCACATGCTCTGTGTGGGGTCCACTAATTAGGACCACATACAGAGCATCCAAATTAAACTAGACATGACACAGAAAAACCTTGAGTTGCCGATATTCTACATTGCAACATATCCTTTAGCTATCCTATAGCAAGGGATTATGTGGATGATATGGGGCCAAAGTCTCTGCTTCCAGAACTGCAAGCAATTGCCTTGGGGCCAGGGGATTTGCACCTGTTTAGGTTTATAACAAATGTAGCCCATTGTTCTTAAGGGCTAGGGACAGAAATTACACACAAACCCGTATAAGTGATTGGAAACTGATTCAAATCTGTAATACAACAGAAGATCAGTGCATATAAACTGCTTTCAAAATGGCCAAGACAGGTTTAGGATAACCCGGTATAGGTGTAGTATGAGACTTAACTGTTTTAGAAGTTCAGTAAACCAATTTAACCTATCTCAAATCCCCTCCAGATTCAAGTTAACTCATAGTCCCCCAAAATCCTAGGCTGCTTTGCACCTCCCCTGCAAACCCCCCATTGCAGGGTGGGTGGGCTAGCCTTGGCCCAAGCTGTCTGCTCCAGCTAAGCAGGGAGGTGTGCTCTAGCACCCCCCAGCTTCTGGCCTGGGCCACTGCAGGCATGTGGCTGCATATCCCGAATCAAAAGTAAACGTCTGTTCATTTGCTTATCGGTTCAATCTACGCAGCCTAGACTAACCTGCAAAGATTGAATTGATTCAGCTTCAGGCATCTTGACTGTCTGTCCTTAGCTAAGGTTGCCCTGTTCAGTTACCTTCAGACAAAAGACGTGACAAAGGCCCATGCTGGGTCAGCGTGGGGAATCCACCATCCAAGGTGTTCAGGCAGGCATAATGCATGTGAGCGTTCTGGGGAACGCGAGCGAGACACTTTGTTAGGACAGAGCAGTGGGGACTCACTTCTGCGCTTGGGGTAGATGTGAAGGGACAAGGGAAACGCCCGCTGCAGAATCACTGCGTTCAGCTCAGAGGCTGCCTTTGTGTTATGGGCCTTCGTAAAGAATGGGAGGTGGGAGCACAGAGACTGCTTGCACTTTCTCTTGCCTTTGCATGCTGATGGAAGAGCCAGGCACTATCTGCCATGAATTCATTTACTATTTATATCCTTGTGCTGCCTCTATTTGCTTCCTGTGAAGTACTGCATACTTCCGTACCATTTGTGTTCCCAGTAACTCCACAGATGAGAGCTGCAGTTAGAAGACAGTGCTGCATAGATAAGCCAAGAAGTAAATGTCAGGGCTTTCTGTGGATGTTACAATATTGAGGGTAGCAGAACAACTGAGTACATGAGGGTTGGATTTAGAACTTGAAAAGGCAGACACAGACTTAGATGGGAGCAAGATTTTTTTATACAGG